TAAATTGCACAATAGGAACAAGGAATTGAATGAAAATAAGAATTGCACAAATTTTAACTATAGAAATATATTTTGTTTACTAAAACATTGTACATGTAAACTTAAACTTAACACGAGAGACTCATCGTAACGTTACCGAGCGTTACACTTTTTCATAAGTGACTCCCAGCCGCAACCTAATTTAAGACGTTGTCACGTCAAAATATATTTTAGAGTACTTACGAATAAAAAGTGATGCCGTGGGTTTTATTTTTAGTTCTTGAGCAATTTGAGCACTTTTTAAAAACACACTTAGTCATTGTTTTATCATATAAACATTCAAAATATTAGCAATATTTCTTTTTGGCGTTGACATGTACGTCGTTTGCATGTCAAGTTGTGACTAAAGCGATTAGGGTCGTGGACCACAATTCATGCGGATCACTTTTGTGAGGATAGTGCCGTATCTACCCTTTTTATTTTAATCTAAGAGTCTGAAAAGGATTAGTCCTAATCGCATATCTATAACCTTTTTAGATAGTACAGCTGCCAATTCATTCATTAATAACACGACCCTTCCAGGATGAAACGTAGTAAAAGCCAAAACGGTATTTTTCAATACGGCCAAAAAACAAAAACGATGTAGTTTGTTTCCCGTATATTTTTTGATTCGCTTAATTTATAATAAACCACTATAACTCATTAAGCTTAGGTTTTCGGGTTGCTTACTAAAAAGAAACTCGGAATAGCCTACATTCATTAGTTTCAGAGAGGGCATGGCTTTTACTACAAAAAAACAAGTTGTAAATGGTTTCTACGACATTTTATTTCTGCTTGGCAAATGTAATCTTTTTTCCTTGAAGTTGTATAAGACTTCATAAATTGTTTCATTAAAGGGATTTCTGAATTAAAAGACAATTTTAATAAGAATAAAGTTTAATTTAGTGAAGTAAATGCAACTAAGTGCGCGGCCTATTGCCCACCGCACCGCTCCCGTCTGCTGCGGAAGGACTGCGCAGTTACCCTTGCAGGCCCTTCCGCGGCCCTCTCATGTAGGTTAGGTACAAAAGATAGCTGACGCCACGGAATCCATCAGTGGCTGGCACGGCTAACGCAATGCCGGGCAGCAAGTGATTCAATTAGATAGGGTCACTGCACGTGCGCAACCAGGGCGTACCTTCGCCTTCCCGTGCCTGTTCTTTTGCGGTGGCAGGGGACGGCCAGAGGATTGTCCTCCTGTCCCCTCTCAGCCTCCTCCTTCTTTGAGATGACGTCGTCACAGAGAGAGGCGACTCCTTCCAAGCCGTCTCACTACTGTGCATAGCCTCGACCATGCTCGGCAGCGAGAGAGAGAACCTACTGTCCTAGGTAAACAATTCAACACGACCCTGCTATTGAAAACACGAATTTTGGGGCCCACAACTAAAGCCAACAAGCCGTACTTACGTCTAAGTAACGTCCAGAACTTCGTTTACATAGAATATTGGTTTCTTCTACCAACTTACATCCTTTATTTTTTCACTCCTTGTAATTAAAAAACTGTGACTAATCGAAGCCTATGTCCTTTTCCGAAGTCCCTAGTATGTCAAAATTGTTAGTAGTATCGTGTCTTTTACTACAAAATTTTCAATAGTATTATTTTCCAGTACTGTATTATATATGTTGTATTGACCGTGGAATGAGAAAATATGTCTCTTACTACATAAATTTGAAAAAAATATTTCCAAAATTGCTCATTATGACATTTTACAAAAAGAAAAATGGGTTTAGGGCATTAATTATAGCGTGTTGTAAAATACGTTTTTCACGAATTTGAACATTTTAAATATACAGATCGATAGAGCTCGCGATTCTGATAAAGAAACCGTTAAAAACAGACTTTGGGTAAAATGGCTTTTACTACTTTTCATCCTGGAAGGATCGAACAGTGTTTTAAGTTTTTTCAAATACAAGGCTTTTATTCCCTCTATAAATGTTATTCGTGTGGGTGTAGTAAGAGGTATCCCTATTAGCTGGACTGGACTGATGGTTAAATTTTAAGTAACATATCAGTCCCCTTAGGATGCGGCAAGATATTAAAGGTATGACGGTTAAAAAAGAAAAACATCATTGATGTTAAAACTGAATTTATTCCCATACCCCCTTATTAATAACTGAAGAATAAGCTTTGATTATCTATGTTTTGTCTCTGTTCGTTGAACGACAAATGGCATTTGAGTGACGTGAACAAAACTTGTTTATTAATAAGGGGGATAGAGACACTAGTTCTAACTCTCGACGGACAAGTATTGCCTAAAATAATATTTATGTGCTATAACTCACTACCAGTAGAGTTTTACATCTGTCCTACTATACAATTTTTTCACTGCTGCAGATATGGACATATTAAGAGTTAGTGCAAATCCACACATAGAAGTTTCAAGTGCGGCCAAGGACACTCAGATGATACTTGTTTAGTGTGGAGGAAGACTCTTTGTTTTGTTGTACACACATCAAAATTTTACTTAATCAAGAGAAAATGTTTACGTTATATATTTTTTTATTTAATAAATACACGTTTCTGAAATTAAAAAATAAAACTAATTTTATTTTTTGGTATAAAAAATTTAATAATCAATCCTAAGGCGATTTTAATAGAACTTTGATAGAAATAAAAAGATAGTTCCACCAAACTTAAAAACCTTTTATTAATAAATTATTGGTTATCTAATACTAAATAACTCCTCCTCTAGCTCGAACACATGCGGAGATCCTCTTAAGCATGCTGAGGATCAAGTTATCCACGATAATGCGTCCGTACATCGAGTCTAACCGTATTCTCGGAGAGCAGCATTGACTCGTTGAGCTCGATGTGCGGGCGCATTATCGTCAAACAGGACAAATTGGTGCCCAAGGTTTAATCGGAAAGGTCTGACGATTCCATCAATAGCGACTGTGTATCTGTCTGCCGTCATGAAGCCTTGATAGGGGTTTAAAGGCGTACTATATAATAGGCCCCAATCATAATATCAACCTAAAAGGACACTGATTTCGCGCCTTGCTGAACCGTTCCAGTGGCCGTTCTTTACCTTTCAGAGTCTCCAGGTCTTTTCCAAACACGGACCCGTCGGTTATTTGGATGACTACTGATTCGCGATTCGTCAACGAAGAGGCAGTTTTCCCAAATGTTTTCCTCTTCGTCTTCTTCATTTTGCCGGAGCCCAGCCCACTGTAATCTCCTTCGCTGACGTTCCCGTGAATTCAAAGGTGCTCGCCAAGACCTCCGTGCTCGTAATCCAGCCTTGTGTAGTGGCGTTTCTTGTCGCGGACTACCAGCAACCTGATGTAACGCTTCCGAGCAGCTGTTAGAACAGTTGGGCGACCGCTGCGGGGTCGATCAGCTAAATTACCCATGCCGTGGTGCCTCTGCAAAGTGGTTACTACACAGGATTGGGATATGGCAACTCTGCGTGCTATTTCCCTCGTCGAATAGCCTTCTTCCCTCAAAGTTACAATTCTGGCTCGTGAAACATCTGATAATCTTCGTGGCATATTTAAATCACAACTTTCCGTGAAAAAATATTTTAAATTCGATAATATTGAGTAAGTCAGATTTCTGAATGAATGTCAGCTTGGATTGCATGTCTTTTTATATGGAAAAACAATTGAATTATTTTATTGTTTTACGTTCTAATTTTAAAATTTAGAATCTTATCAGGAAAAGAAATTACAATAAAGTCTTCTGTAACACAAAAAACAATCTTTTTTACAAAGTGATCGCAAACTTTTTTTGATGTGTATACAGGGCGTCCCACGGCTACCTCACACGGAGGGAAAGTATATTGAAGATAGGATATTTTACTGAAAGATGACATCATTTTATTTTTAATAATAACTAATGCTACAATTGGGAATCAAACTCGTGAAATTTCGAAAAATAAAACACAACATATTTTATGATAACCATCGAAAGGGTTAATCATAAGGACCATTTTTTGCTAAATAACATAGCATTTAAATGAAAGGTATGTCATATTACGTGATAAAAATAATAAAATGATATACAATCTGTAGTATGTATGCATTTCTTTTTGCTCACAGTGACAATGCGATTGGCTGAAATTTATAAAAGTAATAATTTAAAAAATGGAACACATAAATTTTCAAGCGTCTGTTTATTTGCATTTTTTTTGTTAATTTACTTATCATGGCGTATCAAAATAAAATGGATTTAATGAAAGCTTACTTTATGAACGACAAAGACATAGTATAAGCTTTGGTACCGCGAAAGATATCCTGATAGAGACGTACCTTCTCGATATGTGTTTAAATGTTAGAAGCTACTTTAAGAAAAGGACGTTTTGATATGCTCTTACAGAAACCACAGCAGCGGATGATAAACGTCAACGATGATGAATCAACATTTTAACTTACTTTGAGGCATATCCGATTTTATATTAGTTTGTGTTAAATAATTTTAAATAAAATGTTTAATTTAATTACTTTTAATTCGAATTCGGTTTCCAGTTGTAGCAGGCGATTTTTAGAAAATCTGTGAATGTAGTTCTAGTTATTATTCAAAATAAAATGATGTCTTCTTTCAGTAAAATATCCTATCTTCAATATTTAATATACTTTCCCTCCGTGTGAGGTAGCCGTGGGACGCTCTGTATATGTTCAGGTTCCCACTTTGAAACTAGTAAGAAATGTCCTGAATTTCAAAGGCAAAAATGTATTTTATGAAACCTTGCCAAAAATTTATTGAGTTATGAAGAAGCTTTAAAGTTACATCCACCAGTTATTAAACTTTATTCTGATATTTTAAGTTCTAATATGCCATCAGCTTCTCCCAATAAATTTGTAGAAAATAACTCCAAACAGACAATTTTCTATAAAAAAAAACTAGTTTTACTAAACCTAAACATCAAACCTAAACAACAAACACCTCATTCCGTCGCTCGCGCGCGTTCGCAGTGCATCGTTCCGTCGTTGGTTGTTATCGCTTCACAGAGTAGTTTTGAGACAGAGGCAATCTATGCAAAATGAGTAACCCAAACAGTACGTTCAATCAACTTGAAACTGAATTGGCCATGAGCGTGGGTGAGGTTACTGACATTCTATACCATGAATCACCTCCAAACTTTGTTACTCAACGCAATAAGATTGACAGTGAATTACGTAACGATTTCAAGTGTTTTAAAGAAACTATTCTGACCACATTGGAAAGTTGGTTTGCCAAGCAGGACGTGAAACATGACAGGCTTCTAAAGGAATTCGAAGAAATAGGAAGGTCGCTAAGCTTTATGTGTGAGAAGTATGAAGATTTGAAGAAAAGTACAGAGGATATGAGCAAACGACTCGAAGTGCTTGAAAAGAACTCGGCTAAAGATTCACAATCCCAACGGATAACAGAATTAGAATTAAAAATGGACATAATGGATCAGCAGGCGCGCCAATGTAATGTTGAAATAAGTAATCTACCGGAAAAACGTGGTGAGGATCTCTCCGCTTTAATGCAAGAAATAGGAGTACTGGTTAAACAGCCTATTACTCAACAAGATATCATTTCTGTCCATCGCGTGCCCCATGTTAATACAGTCAGTAAACAACCTAAGAATATTATAATGAAGTTGGCGAGCAGAGTTCTTCGTGATAAATTACTGGCATCAGTGAGACTGGCAAAGGGTGTAACTACCGGTCAACTTAACATGCCAGGGACATCGCAAAATGTATACGTCAATGAGCACCTCACTTTAAAAACGAAAAAATTATTTCGAGAGACCAGAATTGCCGCTAAGGATTGTGAATTTAAATTTACATGGATTAAAAACGGAAACATACTCGTCCGTCGAAATAAAACGTCACCTATCTTTTCTGTCCGTTGTCCTGAGGATCTACAGAAAATCAAAAAGCTGTAAGGTTAAACTTTTCAGTAATTACAAGTTTATTTTATTAAGTGTTTTTATAGTGTTATCTTGTAGATTTATTGCATTTGCTTATTATTTACTAACATACAAGTATAATTTTGTGCGCGTTGCACTAACAAGTGAAGTCTCTGAGATGCGAGCTACTCTGTATTTTAATCATCAGTAGTGCAATTCTGTAAAACCCATAAATTCATCTCACTGTGTGAAACGGATCCGCTTTTGAATCTCTTTATGTTTCGCTTCATGGAATTTTCGCATTCTGTAACCAATTGTACAAGCAAGTGAAGCGAGATGTCATTTATATCCTAAGTGATTTGTAGTGTTACCATTTTAAAAGTTTTTGGTAAATCGAGATATATCGACTTAGTTATTATGCGTGAAAAAAAGCACGTAAAGTTATTCTTTAGATATATTTGTAGATATGAGGCTCAAGTTTAAAGTTTTAATGAATGTAAACTTAAAATAGTCTTATTTTTAAAGTTTGGTAACATGGACGAATGAGGGCTTACTCTATGCGCATCTCTGTAATCGAGTGAAAATCGACACTAGCGCTACTAAGTGAGAGTGGCGGTTTAGTAAACTATCACAGGTGAGACCGTAACATACCTAAATGTCTTTGACGTTTCAATGGCATTCTGTAACGAATTTCAGCGCTTGTTTACACCTCACATTAAAAACCGCACTCGAAAGTAACTGTCAAAATAAAAGTTACTCATTAGCTGCGGTAATAGAAGTGATTGTACGAAGTGAGTATTTTTGTAGACTATTATCATCATAAAACAAGAGTAATTATTAAATTATTTATAATTACGTTGCTTTTGTTTATTTAAGTAATAATTCTTTAAAATTATGTCTATCTAGTATTTCAGATGACTCACTCTATTACTTGCTTTTTACTATAGAAAGCCCATGTATGATGTAGATTTGGCCAGAAGCCGCCTACAAGCCTAATTTCTGTGTAACCTTGAGCAATTTCATGTGAAGATGAATATGTGACTAAATAAAGATTTTTTTCAACAATTGGAAAATGATTTAAAGTATTCATTTAGAAGAAACCAAGTGTAATGGAAAAGGATTATCCAATAGAATGAAGGTAAAGTACCTAATTGCATAACAAAAATAAAACCCAACCAAGAAACTTTTTATAACAATTATATAAGAATAAAAAGTTTTTTTTTGTTTCAGATACTGTGTACACTTTCATTTGTGCAAATGGGAGTTACTAAGGATAATAGGGCAAAAAATTACACACATTTATCCCAACCATCAATATCAAGACTTGTAAATGAAATTGCCACCTTTTTAAGATTTTATGTCATCCAGACATAGCAAAATGCATCACAATGCCAAGTGATAAAGAATTGGTAAGTAAACTTTGATTCACTACAATTAAACAAATACTTGGGCAAATAGGTGTACAAAAGATATAATAAAGTAGACCCTCCGGTATAAATATTACATATAATTCAAGTAGAACAGTGTTTCTTAGTTTTTGCAATCCTTTACTTTAATTATTTTAGAATATTTTATGTGGGTAATAAAATTTCTATTTGCAGTTTATTTAAATTATCTAATACTTAAGTAGTAAATGCTAACAGAGCTATTCAGGACCACTTTTTATTTAATTAATTTTAATGCCTTTACATTACATATGGCGGTCTTAATGCCAGCATAGCATTCTCTACCAGTCAACCGGAAGGAACGAGAGTCAATAAACGACATTTAACTTTGGTGTAGACCAATTTACCTTTAAAAAAACTACCAGGTATATTTTTTTGGAGTTATTTTAATAAACTTTACTTTTGTTACAGATTTTTGGAGAAATTTAAAATGCCTGCAGCTGTTGGTAGTAAAGACTGTACCTTTATCACCATAATAAGACCAAAAGAACCTTTAGTAAAAAGCATAAGGCAATGGTGTTGTGTAAACATTAAATGTAGTTAATGTTAATTGAATAAATATATTTTGATTTAAAAAATAGTCACTCATATTTTTAACCCTTCACCACAGTAAACTACAAAAGTAATGATTTTATTGAACTATTTCATCATCAGCCTATTCCTGCCCCCACTGTTGAGGCAGATGGAATAGGGAGACTGGCCGTGACCCACCTAGTAGTAGGACCTAGTGCGGACTGATCAGTGCTAAGGACTGCAGATGCAGCTGGGACCAATAGATTGATGTGTCATCTGAAACACGGAGAAGATCGAGATAATAAGTTTTTGGTCACCCATACAATTACCAAAAGTTGCCTAACTTTCATGATTGCAGGACGAAGACTCTAAGCACCTGCGTCTCCGGGCTCCTCTTTATTTAGATTGAACGTTTTAAATGTTCTACATAAAAACTAACTATTTAAGAATTAGTTTCTGTGTAGTTCCTATAATTAATATACATACCTACTTAATTCTGAATGATTTATAATATAGACCGGCGAGTTGCGTAAACCCCCATTGCAATGAAAATGAAGATAAATTAATAAAAGGGTGATTATTTATAGTAAAACTCATTAAAATAAATATGTAACATTTTTATTCATAAATTATGACAGATGCCTTTGAAACTGTACATTACATTGTTACATTTTTGTCAGAAATGCTCGTCAGCCTATTTGCCAATTTTTATGTTTTTTTTTGTATATAAATAAAGAGAAAATTGAATATTAATCGATGCTTTTCTGAACAAGTATCTGAGTGGTGTTATATAAAGCAGTAGTAGTGGATCACTAAATAGCTCAGTGATTATTACTTCCATCTGTCAAAAGCAGTTGGCGAATAGGCCTACTGTGGTCTGTCTGGTGTGGTCTGCAGGTTGTAGATGTAGCTGGCGCAGTGACCACTTCTCATGAATATAATGTAAGCAGTCTAGCACCGCAACAATAGGCCGTGTGTCATTAGACAAATTTTTACAGAGATCTTTGTTGAGATGGAGGCGAAGCCTGCAAAGAACTTGTTGTGCGTGTTGCTGAAATAAAAAAAAATATATAAGTTGTTGAATAACAACAATAAATGTCACAATTATGATTGGGCCTGGGTCAGAATAAACTTATTAATGATACCTACTCTTTTTTTCTTTTAACACAAACTTTATGATTTTTATAAAAGTAAAGTATTGAGATAAGAAAATAATCAATATTATTACATTCTATTAATACGTACTTGGAGCACTATATTCGGAAATATTCACAACTACAAAATAACAATATGTACGAATCAAATTTTCTCTTATTCTCTTTTTACAATGACACTTATAAATAAATCCGAAAATATATAAAAAGAACATAAATAAAAAAAGAATTAAAAGAACTTATTTTCTAATGTGCCAGTGCCTGCGAGCGAAATATCCATAGACACTGGCTGTATTGCGACATGGACCAACGTTTGTGCGGTGGAAATAAAATAATAAAATTTTATGCCAGTCAATTTAATGGTGGCTTTTCAAACAAGTGGTTAACATAGTCTTACAAAATTAAAAACTACTGTAATTTACGTATACTTACAACATTTCGAAGAAATTAGTGCCCTTTTCCTTCTTGTAAGATTAATGGGCGGGCTTGAGATCTATAATGTTTTCTACTCTACATGGTAAAATTATTTTAAAAAAGTATTTTAGATAATACACGAACAATTTTTAACCTAGAATAAAGCCCGTCACAGACGTAGCTATAATATATATTAATATGAATCATAGCAAGACATATTACAACATATTTTCAATATAAATTTTCGAGTGACCGCACATATATATATATATATATATATATATATATATATATATATTTCTATGACGTCACCAAAATATTTCGACAGATATATTTCGGTATATTACAGTACAGTACGACCGCAGACCGATTGAGGGCAAATATATATATTATAGTATAGCTCCCGTCTGTGGTAGTTTGCTATAATATAATATATATTTCGATATATTAATATATATTATAGCTACGTCTGTGACGGGCTTAAACCAAGAATAAAAACACAGACCACAGATTACAAGATTTTATACAGTAGAGATTATCACATAACGCAAAGGCAATGCGCCGTTCGGCCAAGTTATCAAACTTTAAAAATAAGACAATTTTAAGTTTAAATTCAGTAAAACTTTAGACCTAGGCGTCGTATCTACAAATTTATCTAGAGAATCAATTTAAGTGCATAGAGCAACACGGCCGAAGTGGCCAGGAGGGAAGTAGGCATTCACAGCTTTTCCCTCTGCCGATTTTCCCCCGCAACAGGCCCAGCTCACGAACAAAACTAGTTGTGCTCGGATATTTCTCTAAACTGAATCAAGTCACGTGAGTGTATGTTAGGAGATCGAAAATGCCAAAATGTTCTGTAATTTTTTTTTAAACATGTATGGAACATAAAACTAATAATAGGATGGTGTTATATTTCACATATAAGTAGAATTATTAACATAGTGGTGTCGATTCTGGCATGATTCTCAAAACCTAAATTTCAATTTGACAACATTATATCCTTGTCATTCTCTATACAGAATGAAGAGGAGAGACTGATGTAAAAAAAGTTTTAAGTTGAGAATCATGCCAGAATCGACACTATTATTTCTATTTTACCACTTTTAAAAACACAATGGTGTCGATTCTGTCGTGATTATCTAAACTTAAAACTAAATTTAACATCAATTTCTCCTTTTCATTCTGTATAAAAAATTACAAGGATACACTGTTGTCAAATTTAGTTTAGGTTTAGAGAATCATGCCAGAATCGACACCAATATAAATATTATTTTGTTAAAATTCAATCGTCGGACTTGTTTCACAGAACAAAAACCCTGTCAGTACATGTTTTGCATCCGTTATTCATGCCAGACTCGATTTCATTGATTAGATACCTGTCGAAAAAACGACATTAAGTGCTATAAGTAGTTTTCGGAACTCTTTAACGGTCCGCGAGTGACTGTCATCCAAGAAATGAATATATGGCGTGATTTATTCGTACACAAAAATATAAATATGTGTGCAGGAT